ATATATATATATATATATATATATTTTAATTTTTGTGATATCTTCAAATTTATATTTAAAAAAAACATTATTATTTGCTCAAAACCACATAAATCTATATTATAATATCGACAAAAATCAAAAAAAATAAAACGAAACATTAAAATCGAGATATATCTCATTGCATTTCATGAATACCCTCCTAGTAACTATATATATATATATACCTATACTACATTAATATGCATTTAGACCAAAAGTCTCAAAACATAAAGTACTATCAATTTATGCAAGAGATTTAAAAATCTTTTAAGTACAAACTATTATGCATAGTGTACAAATGTTTAAAACATACCATTTGTTTGGTCAAAGTTTCAGATTTAAGTAAGCCATATTTACATGAAAAATGTATGTTTGGTCTTCATAAAATTGTTTGAAACTTTGCTTGTTTCCTATTTTAAACCTGAATTCAAATTCAAAGTTTTTCTTTCTCTTGAAGTAAACTGAAATTTGAAACAACAATATCAAAAAGGGTTTCAGATCCTGCATGTACCCTACCCCAACCCTTCAACTTTATATGGGTTTAGAAACTCAACATGCGTGTAATTATTTTCCCAATCGATCTTACTAAAACACCATATTAGCCTTCAAATTTATATATCAGTTGACTTGTAAAATAATCATACAAACTCACGATTCAAAGCTAAACTAATGTTTCAGAATTGTGATTCACCCAAGCTGCATCGTGCAGGTACACCATTAGTGTGTGTGTGTGTATATATATATATATATATACTATCTTATAAAGCAAATTTAACAAAAGTCTTAAAGTCTTAAAATACTAAATGACCAAAATACTCTTTATATCACTTTTTCATCTTTTCACCCCCTCATCTTCTCACATACACTCACCCTCTCACAACCAGTTTTTTTAAAATTATAATTTTAAATTTACACTTTATACACTTATAATTAGTTAATTAATTTATTTTACGTCCTTTACTTTTAAATATTTCATTTTAAACTTTTATCAAATTAATATCATAATCGTATATCAATTAAAACATGTTTAAAAAATACATTTTTATTTTAACAAGTTACACCATTATAATCGTCTCGTTAATACCTTCAAAATGAGTCCAATATTGAATAGTTTTTGACTTAATTATATTATTATATGTTATATATACTGNTAATATATACGATTTATACTTTTATAGTTATTTATTTATACATATATATAGTATATATTTTGGGGTTAAGTTGTCCAAATTGCACTGTATAATATGTTCTGAATTAATATGTTCTTGGGTTTTTTTGAAATATATATATACATGTATTAATTCAACTTTAAGTTGAGTTTCTGGACAAGAAAAATGGTAAGCAGTTGAAATTTCATTCTAAAACACATCTTTTTTGGTTTTTTCATGGCTTATGATCTGTCAAATTTGTAGTTTTCTTTATTGGTTTTGAGTGTTTATCTTAAAACTCAAGTTTCTTGGTTCTTTGCTCTTGGTRTAAATCGAACACATTTGTGGAGTCGTTTAAATATGTTGGATTTTAAATATATTAGATTTTAAACTGTCATACAATTTTTTTCAKCGATMGTCTGTAATTGGAACCATAACTCTTATTTATTTAAATTGTATTAATATGTAAAGACCAAGTGTAACATATATCATCGTTAAATCTTATTTTATAAAACAGTGGAACTAGCATATATATATGCAACAAGGTTTATAAATAAAAAATTGGCCAAGTTGCATGATGCATACGTAACATTTTAAGAATTCAAACCTTTAATAGACGTGACCTCAACTAAATAAATTATTATTTTTTAAAAAAAAATTGGTTTTTTTTTTTGTGACACTTCAGCACGTGAATATCTCAAAATTATTATTAAATTAATTTTAATTTTAATTTTAATTCTATTTTTGGATAATGAATCATATCTAAATTTTAATTATAAAATAAATATAAACAGTTATTAAAATAAAATTCCAATATAAATTAATATGTTTTATTGACGGTTGAGATTTCACATACAACCTTCCTTTTTCTAATTTATTATATATATAAATTGTATTTTAGGATAAATTAAGATATGATATATTTTTATATATTTTAAATTTATTTAATTTTAAAATTCACGTTATATCTATACTATATTATAAAGCATTTGATAAAAACTCTCAAAAATCATTTTTATGCATAAAGTACTGTATATTGATGCATATTACTTAAAATTCAAGATTACAAGTAAATTATGCATAAGTACAACTTATTAAAGCTCAATGTTTGAATTCGTATAACTCACTGCAGATAAACATAATCAAATAGAGAACAAACATCTCATTTTAAAATATAAAAAGTTTAAAATATAATTAGGATAATTATCGAGTTCTAATAAAATAATTAATTGTTATCTTTATAAGAAAATTATATTATTAAACCAAATATAAATTACTTCGCTATTAAACTTAAATTAAATTATAATAAAAAAATTGAATTAAAAAATTACACAAAAAAATGAGAAATTTTAAATAGTTAATTTGATATTAATATCAATATATTTCTGTCAAATTTTTATGATATCTTTAAATTTATATTTTATTCAAAAATAAAAGCATCATCGTTTTTTTCAAAATCACGCAAGACTATACTATAACATCGACTGAGATAAAGAATAAAATAAAATATTAAAATCAAGATGTATCTCGTTGCATTGCGCGAGTACCCTTCTAGTATTTGATTATGTGTATTTACGTGATTAATGGACAAAAATGAGACGTAAAAATTTAGGATATAAGATTTTTATCCTTTTATATATGCAATCTTATCCACTTTCAAGTATATAGCCAATGTTCGAGTACCATGCGTTATGGCGCTGAAGTAGTCCCGAGCCAATGTTCGAGTTCCAGGCACTACGGTGCTGAAGTAACCCATGCCATATACCGCATTTAGAAGCCCATTTACTCCGAGATTTAGGTGGTGGATAGCTGTCGTCAGCTCGTGCCGTAAGGTGTTAGGTTAAGTCCTCCAGGGATTATGAAACTAGAAATATTCTTGTTATTGTTTCGACTCATATTCCACCGAAAATGGATTCCGCTCTAAGAGTTTGGAGTATTAAATAACTTGTATTCATAAAACCAACTTTGCTTTTATTCGTATTTCAGAAAACATGAATTTGGTTGCTAGATATTTTAAATTAGAAGTTTTATGTTTTTTTTTATTAACTTGAATATCAAACCCACTATGTGAGCTGACTAATTTCAAGATGACCATCTGCTTTGCGGGTAGCCTGAAGTTTCCGTATTTGAATCCCCATGGCCACAAAGAGATTTTTATTCCTCCTTGGATTTGATCCTTGGTCAGGCGCTTTTGGCCTTTGAAACCTAAGCTCAAACCAATCAAAGACCACCCTTGCGGTTTAGCTTTATGTTTTTGAAAATTTGAAAGAAAACAAAATTGGTGATATTTTGTTGAATTTTACCTGATATTATTATATCAGTTTATTGATCATTTCTAAAAGAATTATTCTTTTCTAAATGGGACCAGGATTATAAATGGATATCTCAAAATCTGTATACGAGTATGGGCTTGTACGACTGTCTGTTTTTGTATTGGTAATGAATACACGTATTTAGGTTTATGGTTTGTTGATTTTCATATTTCCTTAGTTTCGTTATTCTATCTTTACACTAATTATGTCTAAATACAACGTTTTACAAGTTCTCGTCTCTTCTTATTCTAGTTTTTTACTTTAATGCGAGATTGTCTAATTTAATACGAACGGGTATAAAACTTCATTAAATGGATGAACAAACTCTTGCACATAGTGTTCAACCATTTAAACCAAAATACCTGTTAATATCAGACGTATATGTTTTACTTTAAAATCTGTACCACCAATTATCACAAAAAACCAGAATGTCTGTTTCTCCATCATCATCATCACCACCTTTTTTTTATAATCACGGGTTTTCACACCAGTTTGCACACACATCGAGTAATCTCACGAGACTCTGAAAGTTAGTAGCCGAACAAACCTCTAGCGACCTTTAGGGACTCGAAACAATGACCACAGGGAAACAAATCCAATATTATACCAGTTAAGCCACTCCTTACCTGTCTTTCTACATAAAACTAAGGGTTGTTTGTTTACCTTTTAATAGTTCCATTAAGAGGCAACATCTGAATCGTTAAGAGGTGAATATTGCTTGGCAAAAAAAAAAGTCTGCATCTTAATGGCTCTAAAACCCTCTGAATGATTTTGTATCATGGATCTCCCTTAACCATTAAGAGCCCTAATTTCATTGTACATAATTACCAAACAATTATATTTTATTTTACAATATATCATGAGAGTCTCTTAATCATTCTGCATCAAACCATTCAGCAATTGCCAAACAGCCCCTAAAATGACATTGTTTTCAAGTTTTAAAAAGATGAAAAAATGGGTTTCGTTCTAGTTCTGAAACCGAACTCCCACTCCAGTTTTGCACACACATCGACTAATCTAACAAGACTTTATATGTGAAAAGCCGAACTGATGACCGTAACAAATCCGATATCATACCTGTTCAGCCACTTCTTACCTGTCTTTCTAAAAAACTAAAATACGGATTTCGTTCTAGCTTTGAAACTAGATGAAACGGAACCGAATCAAGAACCGACATTTTAAAAAACCGACAACCCGTGAAGTAATATTTTTGTAAAATTTAAAACCGAAAATGGAACCGAACATATCAAATCATAAAAAAGAAGAAAAACACACTCATTTCTTTTTGTAAGTAATAGTGCATTATTATGACCTGTCCATGTCTTCTAAAGCCACACCTCACCCTTCTTGTGGGAGATCTTTGTGGTTCTCCATCTTTGCTCCCCTTTTTCTCTTCTCTTCTCCTCTTTCTTGCTTCCACAATATTCTTCATATACATAAACCCAACCTACTCTTTGATTTTACCCTACCTTTTGTCAAAAGGGTCTCTCTTTTTTTCCCCAAATTTCGCATCTTTTGTTCTTGATTTCCTCCCACTCTTCGAATTTCGTCGATTGGGTTCAGTTTTATGCACACGAACATATGGAGACTTGAAGGGAGACGAAAAAGGATGTGGATTGTGAAACTCAAAGACAAGAATCAGATTGTTGGTTGAATTTCGATTTCCAGTGAAGAGAAGGTAATGATTTTGTCTTTTTTGTTTTTGGGTTTTGATGTTGGATGGAACTAGTGATTGGAATAATGGATTGCGCACCAACTGTTTGATGAAATGCTTGGTGTTTTTTTGACAGGCGAAGGAGTCGTATTTCTTTGAGTTTTGTGGTAGTATCCGTTTGTTAGTTCGTTTTCCACAAGGGGTTTTGAAGATTCCCCTGAATTTCTTCAGCCATGGGAACCAAAATCAAAGGGGTGTTTAAAGGTTTCAAGTTCATCTCCCAAATCTTTGGTAATCCCTCTTTCTTGTTTCAATTTCTAAACCCAAAATTAGGGTTCTTTTTTCTTCATTCAGATTGTGAATTTTGTGATTATAGTTATGAAGGAACGTGAGATGGAGATTGGTTATCCAACTGATGTTAAACATGTTGCTCATATTGGTTGGGATGGATCCTCAGGCAGTGCTCCTTCTTGGGTAATTCTTCAACTTTCCTTCAAACCCAATATGAAATCATCATCTTTTTCTTGAAATTTAACATTTTTTTTTCTTGAAAACTTTCAGATGAATGAATTCAAGACAGCTCCAGATTTTGCAGCAACTTCCATTGGTAATTCTGGTTCTGCTCTGTCCACATGGTCATCTCAAGGTATTTTATTGGCGATTCATTTTATAAATTATCGAATTTTCGTTATAAATTAATCATCGTTATAAAAAAGAAATCGATAGATCAAACTATAATCCAAAAGTAAATTCGATCTCTAATAAGTTGTCGAAGTGTAAAAATACTCACACGAAGAGATAATAGTTCGAACGTTATTGTGAAGTAGTGTTATTTGCATTTTAGAGACGATGATAATTGATTTACAACAAAGATCAAATACAATAATTCGAATCGAAGAGTCTTAAAGCTCTATTTATGAATATTTATTTTGTTTTCATAATTATTACATGATTGAAGATATCATTTTGATTTCCATCTTTTAGCTTATGGATTCTATTTTTGGTCGAAATTTATTTGTTTTTGTATAAAATCTTTATGGGTTTTTAGGGTAGAGCCATTTTTATGACTTGAAGTAATCGGGCTTTAACCTTGGGGGCAAGCTTAACCGAAAAATAAAGACTAGACCTCAGGTCTCTTTCTGATAGGTCGCCAGTTTGAGTCTCTTTTTGATAGGTCGCATTAGGGATTTTCTTGGGCTGTTAACTTCAGGGTCCTATAGAATCAGCTAACAAAAAGATAGAAAGTAGTCGGCTTTGAACAAAAAGTTGTGGGAACCTATGCTAGAACGATCACATAACTTAAGCGAACATATCAATATCACGGTTGTAGAAGATCTCAAACCGACAAATAACGTATTAAATGTGAATCGACAAGAAATATTTGATTTTATTTCATGGTACTTGGGAAAAAAATAAAGATAGCATGTGGGTTGGTGATTGATTTAGGGGCAACTGTGGGGCATTTCACGGGTTTGGAAAATTTTCTTGAAATAAAGATAGATTTTGTCCCTTACTTTGTCTATAATAATTTAGATTGTCTTGTACCATTGCAATTATGACTTGTACCTTTGAAAAGGTGACTTGTACTCTCTTGCAAATTGGTGTTCACCAAAGATTCTTGGCTTATGGATAATGAAAGTGATTTGGCTTTATATGTCACAAGACCCTTTTGTGCTTTTAGAACACATGTACACATACACATTATATATGCAAATAATTTCTTGAAAGCAACAATTTTTATTCATTTTTTTGGTTTTTTATGAATCCAAGATTGTGTTTTTTTGGTTCACAATGAATTAGTTGATGGTTTTAGATGAGGGTTCTTTTATATGATGTATGTTTCCACTAATAAGTAAAATATATATATATATATATATATATATATAGAGAGAGAGAGAGAGAGAGAGAGAGAGAAGAGAGAGAGAGGGGTTGGGTTCACGTGAGACCAGACTGTTTTTGTGAGACACGTGAGACAACTTTTTTCCACTTGAAACTTCACTGGAAAACGCGGTGAAGGTAAAAAGAACCCGAACCTTCACAGAAAAACACTATGAAGGTTACCTTCACAGTGTTTTGCCGTGAAGTTTCAAGTGTAAAAAAGTTGTCTTACATGTCTCGCGAAAACAATCTGGTCTCACGTGATCCCAAGTCTATATGTATATATATACATGCACGAGACAAATATTCACATACTTTTCATCTTTCTTGAAGTTTGAACTCTTAATCTTGTGGGAGGCTCGACTATTGGTAACCTAGATACCGATGAGCCAACGATCCTTTGGTAAGTTTAGACTCGGGTTTAGGCTTTAGACTATGGATGGTCTGCGGTGGTAGAGGGATGCTAGTTTAGACTAGGGTTGTGTTTTGCTTTACTTCCTCCGTAAGTTTTCCTTTACCTTTCGTATGTTTTTGGGCATCTACTCGTTACTTTTTCCATTTTATATCACTTCGTGTTATTCTTTGCTTTCACTACGTGTTCACTCACACTCTTGCACAAGTCAAAGGGTATCAGCTCTTTTAGGTAGAGGTCATATCTGAGTTGGTTTGGTCTTATTTATTTTTAGTTTCAGTGGTTGGGCTTGTTTCGCGAATTTAAGGAAAACCCCCTTTTAATTTAGCACAATGATCGTTACGGACTTGATGTTGCTATTTTTCATTTTGTGTCGTATTATTGGATTTTCTTATAACGTCAAGTAAATGAGATCCGAAATCAAATTCTTATTATGATTATATGCAAGTAGATTTTGGAGAAGCAATGGGAAGACGACATACGGATGATACAATAAACGATCTACCACCCATAGACCTTCCGAATATACCCAAAAAACAAAGGCGTAGAAAGTCTAAATCCACATGCTCCCCGAAGTCATCCTCTTCATCGAAGTCATCTCGAAAGGCAAAGGCTAACATAGAGATCGTTTAAAGTGAACCCCGGAAACCGAGAACCGATTCCGATCGTTTGACGACCGAAGTTTTTGAAAGGTGATTAAAGATGATATGGTGTGAGAAGAAAGTTGGGGGATATAATGAAATTTTCATGTGGGTGTGACTTTTGCTTGGGAGATGAAACCTTTCTTGTTATTTTTATTTTATTATTTTTTTTCTTATTTTATTATTTGTTTTTATTTTTAATTTTGTCCCCTTTGGGAATATACAACAAGGAATCAACATGTAAAAAGTTAGATTCTTTAGTTGTGATGTTGGAATAGTAATCTAGCTTTTGAAATGATAACATGCTATTTGTTTGTATATCGTTATAGGAAATCGGGGAACCATTAAGAGCGTGTCGTATGTCTATATTCATAATGAATATGAATGAGACATTTATCATAAATCTTGTATTTATGGTGAATGTTGTAAAAACTTCCCGTCCAATATATACACATGGTATATTCTTGGTGGTTCACTAGTTCTCCGTGAAATTGAGGTTAACGAAACCTCCCTCTACAAGTATGTATGTATGTATGTATGTATGTGTGTGTGTATATATATATATATATATAGAGAGAGAGAGAGAGAGAGAGAGAGAGAGAGGAGATTTACTTTGCAAACTATGCTTTTTATACAAACTTTGCAAACCAATTAGATCCATCCATTTTCATGATTAAAGGCCACGATTAAAACAAGTTATTTTAGTAAAATAAAAAAATAAAGGAAAATAAATTATTATTATTTTCAACAAAAGGCAAAACGGGAACAAATGTAAACTATTGTGATTATTGAAATCTTCTTTTTGGTGTTCAATTCTGTAAACATGTTTTATTGGACACTAGAAACTGTTAATGATGGAACAATGAGCTATTTAGAAGTGTTAACGATGAAACAAAATAAAACTGTTAATGATGAAACAAAATGAAACTATGGAATTGGACAAAATTAAACTGTTAATGATGAAATATAGTTACCTAGAAATTATAAAAGGGGGGATATTTTAATAAATGATGAAATATAAAAAATATTTTTTAATCAACAATTATTGTACATTTTTCAAAGATGGTAATTTGTATCAACATATTTAATGGATAAATCAATTAAATATTTACTAAAAATGTGCTAGCTAATCAAGATATAATCTACATTTATATAGAATTAAAGAATTACCAAACTTATATATTAGTATTAAATACTTACCAAACATAACTGTTGTAATCTCAAAAGACCATAATGCCCTTATAAATTAAAAATAAAGAAAAACAAATTAATTTATATGATTGGTTATTATTAGTTTGTATGGTTTGTATAAATTGATGAGATTTGTATTTGAATGCTCTTCTCTCTCTCTCTTTATATATATATGTGTGTGTGTGTAAATAGTTATATATATATATATATATGTGTGTGTGTGTGTGTGTAAATAGTTTTAAATAGAAACAATGTGATTCATACAAAGTATATAAATCAATATCTCAATTGTGTCCTAATATGAATCATTAATCATAATTAATAAATATAATGATCTTTCATAAATATATGGATCATAATACATGAACTCTTCATTTTCATAAATATCTCAATTTTTTCTCTATATCTCTCTCTCTACATATATATATATATATATATATAGTAAATTACAATTTTGGTCCTTATGGTTGCCACCTACTATCAAAAGTGGTCCTTATTTCAAACTAATTATAATTTGGTCATTGTGGTTGCCACTTGATTTCAATTTTGGTCATTAGGTCTTTTCGATCTGTTCCATTTACAGGTTTTTTCGTTTTTGGTTTTGGGGTTTCTTTCAATCTGTTGGGCGGAGAAGATAATCAAAGGGGAGGGTTGGTCGGAGAAGATGACCGGAAGACGAGGATTGGCTAGTGAAGATGATTGGAAAGGGACTGTTTGTCGGAGAAGATGGTGGTGGTAGTTGGTCGGAGAAGATGACCGGAAGAGGAGGGCTCGTCGAAGAAAAATGATTGTGTATTGATGTGTTAAAGACTAAAGGAGTTGGACAATTTTGCCCTTGAATGGGGTTACCATTTAATAGGAGATAATGGACTAAACTTCAAGAAGGACCAACATTGAAAAAGAATAGCAACCATAATGACCAAAATTGTAATTAGTTTGAAATAGGGACTACTCTTGATAGTAGGTGCCAGCCACACACACGCATCACTTTTGATGAGGTTGAAATATTTGGTTTCTATAGAGGTTAGATTATGAGATATATCGCCAGACCTAATGATAAAGACCGATAAAAAGCCAAGGGTGGTGCCTGATTGGTTTGAGCTTGGTTCAAAGTACCTGGAGGTCTCAGGTTCAAATCCCAAGGAGGAATAAAAATCCCTTGTGGCCACGGAGATTCAAATGCGGTGACTCCGGACTATCTACAAAGCAGGTGGTCGCCCTGAAATTAATCGGCTCGCATAGCGGGTTGGATATCCAGGTTAATAAAAAAAAAGACCGATAATTTTTTTTTAAATAATACCATCTGATAAAAGAGCTTATATGCCAAAGAGTATGTTAGCCATGTAACATGTTTATAACACAAAAAGCCCAATTTGTTATTGGGTTAATAGCTAGGGGCATGGTGGAGGGAAGAAAAATGGACTGTCGTTAGCGTACCAAGGAATATTGAACGGTTTATTGAACATTTAGAAAGAAGGAAAAAAGGCGATGATCAGTTGGATTAAAAAGTATAGTATACTAAGTAGGAGAAACAGATCTGTAAGAATTTAACTACTGCCAAATCATTTAAGAAGTTAGTACTGAATACTTAAGCATTGAAAAATCCCCTATAATCTTTATCTTTGAATTAAAAAAGAGATTGAAATTAGGTCAAAAAATCGAGTAGATGAAAAAAGGGATCATTGACTACTATGTTGTTATGCAACCATCGACAAACTGATCACAACGGATATAATCTCTTCTCTTGTTTGAGTTCTTTACTGTTTATGGAACCCTTCTTTACATGATTTCGTATATGTGAACTAACATGTGAGAGTTCATAAGAAAGAAATCAATAAGACTGTGGCATGATTTGCACGCTGTAAATCAATGGAAGTGTTTTTGTTTCCAACCCAACATTAAAAACACAAAAATGAAGTTGTTTTCATCTTCAACTCACCACTAAAACACTAAAAAATAGAGGTCAATAAAGTTGACTTCTATAAATCAAATATTAATATACTATTAAGTTTTTATAATTTTATATGTATATTATTGAATTTTTATAAATACATATATTATTTTATTACTATTATAATATTTAAAATAATTTTTTTGTGCTCAATGGACCCATCATTTTTAGTAGTTGGATTGGAGATGGTCTAGGAAGCAACAGGAGCTCTATTTCAATAAGCGGTCATAAAAGCGATGGGACGACAAGTTTGTTAAATAGAAATTATATATATATATATATATATATATATATATATATATATATATATATATAT